AAAAACGAAGAAGAAGAAAATAATGCAGGCAATTAGGCAATTGTGTTCGAAGGGAAACCTTGTGAACTTTTATCTTCAGAACTTGACTTCCCAAGGATGAAAACTGTGTTAGTAGGAGGCCCTGGGCCAAATTCAGCCTCTTCAAAATACTTCCAGAACGTCCAATGTCCATCAATTGGTCTTCGGAAACCCACATTGGATAGAATCTACCAAGCCGTTCATTTCAAAGGAGAAAAATGGAGAAAGAAAAGCCGTGAGCTCAAATGAACAGTACATTTGCTAATTAATTGATGTAAAAAAATAATAGGTCTTTGAAAATTGAAAACAGATAGCAACACGAAATAAATGCAGGCTACAACCAAATAAACTTTTGGCCCTAAGAAATTTCAGTATTCCCCTCTGGAAAGTGGAAACTACCTGGTCAATGGCCGAATCGACACCGAATGTCCTAAAATTCAGCTTCTCGGAACAAGATTCGGCCCCTTCAATGATAACTCCAGTATTAGATTCTCCTTCCATAGGCTTGAGTGGAGCGAAAGGCAAGTCCCAAAGATCGGAATCAGTGTAAGAATCATACTCTTCATCCCCAAATTTCGGCGGCCGAGTCTGTCGGGCAAGAAGAAATTCATCATCGTTCGAAGAGCTTTTGATGATCAAAGCAAGGTTGTGAAGTGCCATGGAAATCGAGGAAGCGATTTAACGAAGCATGGAGAAGATTCAAGGGAGTTAGGATTCCAGTTGTAATAACGCAATTAGGAGCGGGACCGAAACCGGATTCAGTCAGTGTAAGGTCCGTTCCAACAACCTGCTGTAAAGGCTGTTCGAACGGGTCTTGCACCGAATGAAGCCGATCTCACCGCAGTGGTAGACTAGTCAGTAATGTATTAATGTCCTTCCGATTCGGTCATTTAATTGGTTGCCGCAGGGGGTGTCTGTGAGTTCGGACGTACTGACCACAACACTGCGGTTTTGTTCACCCAGCCGCACACGGTTGTGTTGTGTTCACCGATATTCTCAATATGCGGCGGATGAGTGTGGCCAACAATGAAAAATGTATTGTAATCAGCCGATCCGAATTGAAGTCTTGTTCTTTTGGTAAAAAGGTAGTCTCAGATTAGTGGGCCGCGCCGGGCTTTGCACGTTATAGTTTAGGCCTAGGTCCGGCCGAGTTTAGGGTTCCGAACCTGAAACATAAGTTTTAGCTCAGGTCTAAAGGGCTCGGGCCGGGCCGGGCCTGATTTCATGCCAATGTCACTCATATATAGATATTATATATCTATAATATTTTATATTAAATGGCATAATATGCATATAAACTTATTGTATACTATATAATATAAAATATTACATATAATATAAATTATACATCTCATGTTATAATATTTATATATAACATATATAATATAATGTAAAATAACATGTATACATATGTATACATTATACACAAAATGTGTAATTTAAATATATGTGGGCCGGGTTGGGCTTGAAGTATTAAGCCCAAGCCCGGCCCCAAAATTTGCAGGCCTGATGTGGGTCTAGGCCCGGACGGGGCCTGAACACAAAACCCAGGCCAAAGTCTGAAATTTCCAGGCTGGGCTGAAATAACCACCCTTATCTCAGACTCTCAGTTTGTATTTAAACTTCAAAACGTGACAGATGTTAAGTGTGGCATGTAAAATAATAAAATGCCCTTTATGCCCATTTTGAAGTTCAGAACGAACACATCTACCCTTTATCTACTACTCTCATAGCCTCATATAAACAGATAAACTAATTTAAACAAACTCATCTAACTAAAAAGATATTGGGGGATAATTTATGGGTGCAAGTTGTGAATATTTGAGAAGGGAAATTTATGAAACACCAAGACTAAAAAAAGGGTATCTCCTGGACCTAGAGGAGCATTCTACTTGTTAGAGACCTCATTAAAAAATGTTCACATTGGCAAGTTGGCGATGGGAACTCAATAAACTTCTGGTTGGATAGTTGGGTATATGATGCCAAAAACTCTAAACCAAGGAAATATCACAAACGAGGATACAAAAGTCACTAAAATGATAGACATAGAAAGGGAATGTTAAAAGGAAGACAGAATTAGAGTTGAGGTCCCTGAAAAGGTTTGGCAAGACATCAAGACTATTTATATTGCTCCCAATCACATGGATGACGAGATTGTTTGGGAGTGTAACCCTAAGGGGACCTTTTCTATTCAAACAGACAACTTGTTTAAATGCTCCTCTATTCTTGAACCAATTGGAAATTCCAATTGGCTAAACAACACTAGAACATTAAATGCACCCCAAGGATTAAATTGTTTATTTTCTTTCTACTGAACAATAGACTACCTATAAAAGACCATTTGAGGAGAAGGGGATGTAATATTGATGGCTCTTGTAGTTTTTGTGGGGAGGAGGAGGATACGGAACATATCTTTAAAAGGTGTGTACACACAAAGCAAATTTGGTTTACTTTGAGTATGCCCCTATAGGGACCAAATAAAAATGAAAATCTATGTGAATGGTGGGGGGAATGTGCAATAAAAGGAAAATAAATCATTATTTGTAAGGGAAAAGCTAACTTTGGTTTTATTGGCGGTTTGGAAAAATAGGAACTCCAAAATTGTTAATAATGTTATTACCCCCTTTCCATTAATCTTAGAAAGAGCGCTTAATATGTTATTGGAAACTATTGAGGGAGATCAAAGTAGTACCCATGCCCCAACTCACAACATTTAGAAACAAATTGTATGGTCAGCTCCAAAGTATGACTACATTAAAATAAATTTTGATGCATCATGTAACAGTGAAGGGAATTGTTTTGTGGCTAGCATTCTCCGTGACCATGTTGAGCAAGTACTTGTGATTAAAGCCTATAAACTTGGCACCTGTTCCATAAATCAAGTTGAAGCTTGGGCTGCATGGAAAGCCCATGTCCATGCTACAAATTTCGGGGAGTTTCATATTATCATCAAAGGGGATTCATCTCTTGTAATCTCTTGTCTCAACAAAAAGGTGGTTGTTCCTTAGAAACTAAAAGGTATCATCTCTAGCTGTCTATAGAAGAGAAATCTGATCATAGCAGGTCTCAAGTATCAACATGTTTATAGAGAGGCAAATCGGGCGGCGAACTGGCTCAAACATGAAGGTTTTTCTTCTTATCCTTCTTCAACTATAGATTTTAGTATCTCATCTCTTCCCTCTTCCCTTTTCTTGTTTGTTTTGCTAACTTTTGGGGACGTATTACCCCCCATTGTGTGTAGTACATTACGAAATTTATCAAAAAAAAAGACCGATAGGGCCATAAAAAAAAAGAGTGAAGGGAATTCAGAATTTAAACAACGACAAATAAATAGAAAAAATAAGAAAAGAACAATCAAAATATAGAATATAACCCAAAAAAGGGTTAAGCCAGTTTCTAAGTCCATGAGGGTTGGGCTTCAATTCCCCGTATGAAGGATAGCAAGGTTTTTGAAGAAAGGTAGATATGTTGAGAGGCTTGGCAATGGTGCTCCCATTTACTTAGCTATCGTTCTTGAGCATTTGGCTATTGAGGTGTTGGAACTCGTTAGAAACGCATGTCAAGATAACAAAATGACCCGTATTATTCCAAGGCATGTTCTGTTGGCAGCGAGGAACAACGAGGAGCTTGGGAAATTATTGGATGGTGTGATGATTACTCATGGTGGTGTTATGCCTAACATTCATCAAGTTTTATTGCCCAAGGGGACCAAAAAATTTGAAACAGATGCCAGAGTGACCAAGACCAAGTCACTGAAGAAGGCATGAACCAAGCTATGAAGAACCTAAAAGAGCTTTGTGTTGTTTTTTTAATATGCTCTTCGATGAGAGCATATTTGTGTTGGGTGTAAAAAATAATGTTGATTTAACTCTTTCAGAGGGTGAATCTGCATAGTTATAGACTTATGAGGAGGGAAGGGTTATTTGGTGCCAAATTTATAAATTTCAATATTTTTTTTTGGTGGGCAAAGGAGCCAAGTCTGAACTTCTTATAGGCCTTCCTTTACAGATCCGAATATAACTGAAAAATAAAATTTGTTCTTTTGGCAACTAAAAAATACAACTGAACAAAGCTATGGAGCACAGGAACAAATTTGTCTCTACACGATGCTTATATATAGTTCTTAAAAGTTAAAACAAGTCTCAGTAGAACATTGTGTTTTTGTTGGATTCATATTTTTTAGACATTACACCCATGGCTCCATATATGATGCCCATAACAAAAAATAAAAAAAATAAATAAGAAGAAGAAGAAGAATGATGAGGTTGGACTCACACATTCTCTAGTCATGACCGGTCACCGGAAGCTACATTGGAATTGGATATTCAATGTGATGGCACTACTTGTGTCATACTAAAGTGTGAAGACTACACATTCCTCTCTTTTGGTTCAATCTCAGGGTAAAAGATAATGAATAGTGTCTTCTTTTGAAAGGTAGTTTTGGCTTTATTTTTTTAAGTTATAGGTCACACATGTCATCATATGATATAGATAGTAGGTTAATTGCTAACAACAGGGACTAAATTGATAGCTTTTGAGAGTTCAAGTACTGTAGTGGCACGTTTTGGACGTTTGGGTACTAAACTAAAACTACCCCTAAAGCACAGGGTACTAATATGGAATTTCCCCTTCATTTAATTCACACACACAACCGAAACCAGCAAGGTAGCAAACCGAGGTGAAAGAAAAAAAACCTTTTTGGTGTTAGCTTTTGATCAATGAAGTAGGGTATAGGCTAAAAGGGATCTAGTCGCTCTAATGCAGTGTTCCTAGTAGTTTGTAAATTGATAGATGTGTTGGTTCAAAATTTTCGAACCTGAGACATAAACCACTAGCTTAAGAATCAACATGTCTAACAAGGTGCCTGTTTAACCAAAGGGCCGCACAACTAAAGCTAGCAAGCGCGACAAGCCAGTTGACCAACTAGCTAGCTTGGACATGCGCATCCTACGTTGCGAGGCGGCATTAGGTGAAACCCGAGATCGGGTCAATGAACTCCACCTCAACCTAGAGACTGTTGAGAATGCAGTGATGGAACTAGAAGGGCATTTTAATGGTGCCTTCAGAGGCATGCACACCACCCTACGAAACTCGAGAGCGAGGCCTTCCCAAAGTAGCCTACAGGGCTTGCTAGACAGATTTCAAGCGCAATTGGACGATATGACTCTCCTAAAGAGGTCAATGGCCAACTCATCTAGCACTCCCTCCACCCCAGCTCCCATGCACATCAAGATATGTGAGCCAATAACTTACTCAAGTGCTCGGGATGCTAGGGAGCTTGACAATTTCTTGTGGCAATTTGAACAATATTCTCTGCCACTAGCATCATTGACAACCAAACTCAGGTACGTAAAGCTGCTATGTATTTGACTGATATCGCAATGTTATGGTGGCGTAGGTGTTGCCAAGACATTGAACGTGGAACCTGTACCATCGACACTTGGGTTGGATTCAAGCGTGAGATCAAGCATCAGTTCTACCTCAAAAATGTGGAGTACATGGCGCGTCGAAGAATGAAGAACCTTAGACATCAAGAATCACTACATGACTATGCCAAGGAATTTTCGGCTTTAACGCTTAAGATCTTCGACATGTCAGACAAGGACCTTATGTTCAATTTCATGGACGGTCTCAAGCCATGGTCTGAGCTTGAACTTCAATGATGCGGGGTTAAGGACCTCGCCACTACCATGGTTGTAGTTGAGCAGCTTGTTGATCTGAGGGCACCTGAGGAAGAAGAGCAAAAGCCATCCATCCCACGTACCATGAGTTTGAGTGGGGAGATTAACAATCAACCTCTACAAAGGAGAAACTAGTGTGCATTGACAAGCCCATCAATCATCAACAAG